TCTGGTCACTGTGAATGCTTCCCGACCGCAGCTGGTTCAATTGACCTCAGGACACCATCAAACCTTTCAATCTATCGCGACTCCTCCGCCAGCGCCAGAAATGTCTTCTTCTCCGGCAACTTGATTCATGCGGAGCAGGTCAAACGCTGGCGGTGCGCTGCTGATGTTCTCTGTAGCGTCGGCTGGCACTTGGATCCTCAATTGTTCAATAACCAAGACCTACAAACGCTTGGTGACCGCGTGGATGCCCTAACGTCCGCCTCTGTAGCTGCACCTTGATACTTTTTTACAAATTGAAATTTGTGGCGCTTTAGAGTGGCTTGTCGATTGCTATGCAAAAAGAAAGTAAAGTCGATGGGCAGGGCGGGCCTTGCCAACCGTCTGAAGCAGAACCGTCCAACAAGCACGGAAAAGAGCGAGAAACCGCTTCGTCTTCTTTTACCATGACAACGGATAATAGCAATAGTGTCTCGGTAGTGGTGGATGCGGCGCTGCGCGAGCTGGTGATGAGGGCGTTGAGCGGTGGTCTTGTTTTGCGAGCGATCGTATCCAGTTGAGCTTGGGTATTGTGGCAATTAAATGCAGTAGATCCGTGTCTGGTTGTCAAGGTCCTTGGTGTCTGCAAGTCAACTTGTGCGATGTCTGTGCCGGCACGAACTTGCAAAGGTTCAAAGCGCTCTCATGCCTCCTTCACATCGTCACCAAGTTGAATTTAGACGTGACTGGCCTCAAGCGCGGGTGAGTCTGCGTCGGCAGCAGCGGGAAAGCCAAAACTCAGACTGCAGAGCGCCGTCCAGGCCAAGTCTATGCAGCCATCCAGGCCGTGGCCAAGCGGTTTCTTGGAGCGAGCATCACTGACAGTGCATGTCATATGAGCGTGGCTTGGCCGCGTACACTGGTGTTGCATCATACGCCCGAGCCTTCATTGGGGGCGTTGAATGTGGCACACTCTCAAAGCCAGCATGCAGGCAGAACGGCACGCAACGTCTATGGCCGCACGCAGCTCGATCACAAGTTTGTGTCCAGTGAAGCACAGTATGGCCACCAGTTTGTGTCTGAAGAATGGCACAAGCTCATGAAGCTGGTAGATGTAGAGGATCAGATCCAAGCCGAGGCCGTGGATGGGCAGACCTGCGTGCAACAAGTGGTTCATAAACAGGTGGTCATCCAGTCGTCTCGGGTCAGAAACGTCAGCACACAGGTGCAAGCGACCGTGGGCACGCAAACAGATCCCGAGGTTGAAGCCTGCCTTGATGCTGAGGATGACATTGACGATATCATTGCCGGGTTGGATCTAGACGAAGCCGAGGCAGCCGGATCGTCCATGCCAGTTGCCGTGCCGCGAGCCGTGGAAGAGGCTGCGTCGACGGCCTTGCAGCAAGAGCCAAGCCAGCACAATGACCAAACGCAGCAACAAGAGTATGAAGATCAGCTTTGGCTTGCTCAATGTGTGCGGCAAGCGTGGAAGACAACATTTCGCGACTGGGATCAGTATCGATTGGCACAGGCTATGACTCGGCACGAGGCCCAGGACGGCTGGCTGTTGGCCGTGGCCCCGACTGGCATGGGCAAGACGCTGTGTACACTCGCTCACCTCCAGCCACGCAGGGTCGTGGTGTGGGTAGTCCCGCTTCGTGAGCTTGCCAGAGACTTGTGCCGCCGCTTCAAGCAGGCTGACATTGTATCGCAGTGGGCTAAGAATGATGGCCGTGACATGCAAGTCAACGTTCAAGTGATTGTCATGACGGTTGACTTTTTGGTTGGCCATGGGATGAGGTGGGTGCAAACACTCGTGCAGCAGTAGCGTCTGGCCATGCTGGTGATGGACGAGGTTCACACAATGCTCGTGGACACCAGCTATCGAGGGAGTCTTGTTCGCTGCCCAAGCCGGCTGGACCATCTTCGCCAAGACCCATCTGTCAAGTGTGTGGGCCTGACTGGCACGCTTTGCCCCAAAGATGAGAGGGCTCTGCTCCAACAGCTGGATTGCACGGAGGACGCTTTGTACCAGACCTTTCGTATGCCAACCATGCGAACCGATCTTCGGCTAGGGGTGCAACAAGGAACAACAAAGGCATTTGAGATGTTTGTGGAACGCCACTACGGCCTGTTGGAGCAAGAGGGCCGCGTGGATCGCATGCTGGTTTTTGTGACACGAAGAAGAAGGTTGAGGCATTGTCGACTCAGTTGGCACGCACGTTGGGTCACGAGCAGTCGCTGGCCGTGGATGCTGACATGTCAGCCGAAGACACACGGGCGGCTCTTGAGCAGTGGAGGAGCGGCACGCAGAGTCTGGTCTTGGTGGCCACAAGCTGCTTGGGCGCGGGCTTGGACATGCCCAACGTTCGGAAGGTGATCTGGTTTGGCACCGGCTACAACGGCTATACCTTGTCGCAGGCCTTGGCCGGGC